TAGCTCACCACCAGGGAGCTCGTCACCAAGTAGCTCACCACCAGGGAGCTCGTCACCAGGTAACTCACCACCAGGGAGTTCGCCACCAAGTAGCTCATCACCAGGTAGTTCGCCACTAGGGAGCTCCATCATCCTCTGAGCCACAGGCCACCTGGGAGCAGGTCAAATGACGAGGTACTTAGCCAAAAAATTGGTACATCACAAAAAAAAAAAAAATTGGTACGTAACCAGAAACAGTTACATCATATTTGATTAAACCGGTGAGGGTAGGTCTCAAGTAGATCGATATTTGTACCATAAACTCTTCCAAAGTGATTGGTATCCTTTAATTTCTTGTAATTTGAGAAATCAATGTCCTATTGATTTATGTTCTCTTTTAGTTCAGTAACTTTCCTTTGCATGCAGACTTGCCTCGATCATATTGCTGCCCCTAGAGTCTATAAGTGCAAGGTACCGTCAAAGCTTCCTTCGTTGATGGATTCAATCGAACCCATTAGGTGATTAAGAAACTTGGACCCATTTATTTGTCGCTGGATTTGATTCTTTTACTTTGTAATCTTTCCATGTGAGACGAAATTTCATGGTCGATACTTGTTTAAGCAAAACTACATACACTCGATGCAGGTGTCATCTATTGTAAAGGTATCATGAGTTCCATTTATTTCAACTAAACACATCCAGTTAGGGCTTCACCACTTGACACATTTGTATGATTTCATTAGTATCAGACCCCCATAGACTTTTAATGGCCCCGGTGTCACGGGGTAGTCGTTGGAATCCCGTGCGGCACTCGAATGCGATGAATAAGCCTAAACAACAAGCAACAACACAAGAAAAAGCGACAAAAATGGCACACGAATTAACAAAAGGCTACTTGTATTGCATTAATAGATGGCAAGCATAAGTACACAGTTCAGTGTCGAGGGGATCTCATACTTAACATTTACATGCTTATGACTCACTCGACTATCTACCTCCCCTCAAAGAGTATGTTAARCTTTTGGGGGAGTGACAATAAGAAACATTAAAAAGATGAAAAATCATACTACAGTATTACAATAATGCCATTGGCAATCCCCCATACAAAAGTACATGCATAGCCCACCCAGGACACACACTTGGACACTGGAGTGGCTGCTGTAGGCACGATGGATGGCACTTGATGGCACGGCAAAAAGAACACTTGTTACACCGGGGTCCCTAGTTCCAGGGTTTCGTAGATTTTCGGGTCTAAAGTCTCTTAGGTTTAGGGATTAACTTGTATAGAACTTTTTCACCAGCAAGTCTGATACACAAAGCTTTCTTCTTCACCAAAGAGCCCAACATGCAGAGCTTCATCAACAGCAGGCCCTCACAGACCTTTAATGCTCTGAGGTCCCTAGGTCTAGAGCTTCGTAGACTTTTGAGTCCAAAGTCTCTTGAATTTAGTGATTAATTTGCATAGAACTTTTTTACCAAAGAGTCACAACATACGAAGCTTCATTAACAGCAGGCCTTCACAGACCTTCGATAGTTTGAGGTCCATAGGAGCAAAGCTTTGTTGTCATCTTTTATACCTCCTCTAACAAAGAACTTGCCTCAAAAAGGAAGGTTAGCAAAGCATGAGTACCCGACCTTAAAGGGGTGATCTCTCCACTTTCATTGCAGAACTGCCAACACAATTTATGCTTGTGGCTGATGGAGTTTTGATAAATCCTTATTGTCAACACAGAGTTGAGTAGGAGGAGCTCGTTGGACCTCTCCAACCAAAAGGAGTTGTCATAGATCATGCAATGCTAGTCTTCTATTTCTTTTAAGAGACGTCTGGTCTTCTAGAAGATCATATAGAATGATCACTCATTTAAAATGAAAGGGATAAGATTGTTCTTGACTTCTTTAAGGGAGCTTGTTGCAAAGATTTCTACACACATAAGTGGATGTCTATGACCAAACTACCCATGGTAACAAGGTTCTTGAAAAGGTCTACTATCTTAACATGTTGTCGTTTGTCCAAGAGGTTGGTTCCTCGTCATCATGTGGAGAAGAGTACCTTGCTTATAAAAATAGAGTTAAATATGCTACAACTAAGAAACAGAAAGAGGTAGAAATTGGCAGATCTAGTTATTGAAGTGATGCATATGAATTGAACAAGTCATTTTTCAGCAACCAAAGGATTCAAATCACAATTGACATGACTTTCACTGACAACAAGAAACCCCACATTGATGTAATGTCTTATACCTTTAAGAAAGAGCGACATGAAATATAGGAGCAATAAAGAAGGTGGAGCAATGCTTTTCCTTAACCTCCAAAGACAATACTTTAGTAAAAAGTAGTAGGAAGATAATGAAGCACCTATAGTGGAAAAGCTCAACATGGCAAGGTGAAACAATTGAAAATAACCAACAAGCAAGAAATGCAAGTCAATGTTAAGTGACAACACAACTTGTAGAAGCATTCATTGCTCTTTATAATAATATATTTAATTATGTAAAACTCAAAGAAGTGGTCTTTCTCTTATAAATGAAATAACTTCTACATTGTAGTCAAATAATGTTGGAAATGGACTTGATATTTCCTTCTGTCTTCTAAGAGAGAAATTCCGATGTTTGACATTTATTTTGTCGTTCACAGTTTAAGCTCATGTGGGCCATGAGTGTTACAATGCAAAAGACTTTCTTTTTTTTTATGTTTCGCCATTCACAGTTTATGTTCATGTCGGCCAAGAGCATTACAATGCAAAAGACTAAGAGTAGTACCTCTTAAAATACTTTCCATTAATTGGCCTAAGATGTAGATCATCTGGTGTGACAAGGAGATAAGCACCATTAGTGTAGACTTCTTCCACCACATGAGGCCCATCCAATTTAGGATCAAATTTCCTTCCTGAATGGTGTAAGAGAACAATAAGACAAAATCTCCTTTCTGAAAGGAGTGAAGATGAACCTTCTTGTTGAATGCACGAGCCAAACGAGCTTGGTAACACTATTCTTTGTTGAACTTCTAACATCTTCTCGTCTAGCGCTTCGATCTCAGTTAGTCGTAGCTTTACATTCTCATCTTCTGTAATCCCCTCTTGGATAGCCATCCTTAGGGAGTTCATTTGTCTCTCTAGGGGGAATACAACTTCTACACCATATATTAAAGCAAAAGGAGTTGCATTTGTAGAGTTGTGGTAAGATGTTCGATACGCCCATAAGGCCTCCTCCAAGTTGGCAAATAGTGTGGGTGAGTGTAAAGTTCATGAGGGGTTTTTTGTTGAAAATAAAAAATTCACGGGGATAATTGGCAAGGCCAAGGGTAGAGGTGTAAATCGGGCTGAGCTGGTCCATGGACCGAGCCTTAGGCCAGGTTAGGCCGTATATTGGGCCATGCCATGGGAGGTACGTCTTAAAAAATTGAAAAAGAAATAAAAATTTTAAAATAAATTAACAAAATAGACAAAAAAAATTGTAAAATTTTATTTTATATGAATATTGATGTATACAATTGTTTATATATGTAATAATAAAATGAAATAGTATAATAAAATTGAAAATAAAATTATATATTATAATATTTATAAATATATATGGGTCATGTCGTCGCGTATTGGCAATGCTTGCTCGATTGTTTCGTACCGTTCTGACCCATGGGCTTGAAAACCCAAGCCTAGCATGGCCCGTGTGCCATTGTGCTGGGCCATGAATGGCACGGCCCAATTTACAGCTTTACCCAAGGGTAATAAGTTGTAATTTACCCTAAAAATAATAAAGGAGAGGTCAGACCAACCTTTTCTATGACCAGACCTGCTCCTCGTATAGCGCTCTCACACCCATCCTCATAGTGTGTCCTAGCCACACACGGTGGGATGTAGCTATGAGGTCGATGTGAGGAGCAGATCCCACTTCACCTTTTCTATTTACGATGTGGCAACTAGTTTAGCCATGTCATGGTACGTGCAATTCGCCTATGGATGACCTCAAACCTCGTCCGGATTTGATAGAAAAGCTTACATCTAGGCCCCACATGCACATCTCAGCGTGCATTGGGAACATATCTCCCGCATTTGGAGTGATCTTTTTGAAACGCAGATGTGAATCTGTACTTCATATAGTTTGCCCCAAAAACGCCCCACATGCACATCTCAGCATGCATCGAAAACATTTATCATTGGAAGATGTTCCAAATATATGGTTGGAATGTGTTGGGGTGTTTTTGGGTTACACCCTATATGGGGCGCAGATGTGAATTCTTGATGAGTTCACGTCTATGCCCCACAGAGCCCGCCCCAAAAAGCCCCTCATGCACGTCTCAGCGGCATTGGGAACATCTACCATACGGGTGTTAGAAGTTCAATCAGATTCCGGCCAATCCGCGCTAACCAATTTGATTGACCTCAGAGCGCGTCCCCAACTGTGTATTGGAAACATCTCCCAATGACAAATACGGGAGATGTTCCCAATGCACGCTGAGATGTGCATGTGGGGCGTTCTCCGTGGGGCGCAGATGTGAACGCTAAGACCGTAAAGAATTAGCAACGCCGAATTTACTCCTGTCTTCTGTTTTGTCTGTGGCAAGAAGAATTGAACATTCAAACGATAAGCTTGGTATCCAAGCATAATAAGCCAGATTTTGTTTTACCCAAAACAGCACCCTGATCGACTTTGATCAGTATAAATGAACATAACAGGGTAGAAGACCTTCCATATTGATCTGATCCGAGAAATGGAACAAGTTAAGCTATTTGGAGCTTTTCCAAGCCCATTCGTTTACAGAGTAATCTGGGCTCTGAAGCTCAAGGGTGTACAATTTGAGTACATGGAAGAGGATCTCTCCAACAAGAGTGCTTTGCTCTTGGAGTACAACCCAGTTCACAAGAAGGTTCCTGTTCTTGTTCATGGTGGAGTTCCAATTGCAGAGTCCATCGTTATCCTCGAATACATCGAGGAGACATGGCCGAATGATCATCCGCTGCTGCCACAAGATCCTTATGGGAGAGCCCAAGCTCGGTTCTGGATTAAATATCTGGAAGACAAGGTAAATTATCTCTTAGTTTCTTCTTCTACGACACACATAGACCACCAGATGTTTGATTTTAAATATACGTTGAAATGATCCTCTGTTTGCCATCTAATACTCTGATGTTTTGGTCATGTAGCAAGCAACCTTCTTTGCAGTGTTTTGGTCTGTTGGGGAAGAACAGGAGAAGGCACTCAAAGAGGCCCCAGAAGTGTTGAAAACCATTGAGGAGCGTGCTCTTGGAGAGAAGAAGTTCTTCGGTGGAGAGACAGTTGGAATGGTGGATATAGCATTCGGGTGGCTTGCTCACTGGATCGGACCGATGGAAGAGCTCACAGGCGTGAAGTTGGTGGAAGCCCATGCGTTCCCTCGCCTGCATGCATGGATGGAGAATTTCAAGGAGGTCCCAGAAATCAGAGACAACCTTCCTGATCGCCATAGAATGTTGGCCTATTTGAAGCGTAGAATGGAGATGATTGCCACGATGGCTAAATCGCTGTAATGAGAAAAAAGTCAGAAACTAAACGTAGATTGTTGTTTGGTCTTTTGTGGTTGGAGTACTCATGGCTCCCCTCTCTTGGGATTCTCTGTTCTCGCTTGGGCTTGAGATAGTTTCTTTGTTTAATGTTCAAGAACGACAATAAAGAGGAGTTTCTTTCTCTATATTTTCTTGCAATATTTTAGCTTCTATATATTTTCCTTTCCTTCATTCAATTTTTTTTCCAAAGTTACAGTTTAAAGAACTGATAAAGGAGAGTTTCAAGGGGACTCTTATTTATTCTTTACATAGAAGTTCCAAAATTTTTTCCAAAGTTGCAGACTTGTTCTTTGCAGTTGTTGCATTAGATATGTATACAGTATAGTCGAAGGTTGATTCTAGGGGTGTCAATGGACCGGTTTTGGGTTGGACTCCGTCTAAATCAAAATCCATTTGGACTAATTGGACGGACCAATAAGATATATTGAATTTGGACAGACTGAACGGACCAATATAACATATTAGATTGGACCTGGTCCGTTTATAATGAATTTATATTGGATTGAGCCAATATCTGGTCCATTGATAGAAGATAAGAACACAGGTGTCAATGGACCAAGTTTGAGTTGAAACCAATCTAAATTAACAGGAATTTGAACAAATTGGACAGCCTTTGGACCGGTCCAAAATGGTCCAAAATATTCATTGGACTGGATTGGACCAGGTCCATTTGTAATGGACTCACATTGGACTGGACCGGATTAGACCAAATCCAGTCCAATTGACACCCCTAGTTGATTCATCGTTGGTCAAGTTTTCTTCCTCTCAACTGCTCATTTGTGTGTTTTTATTAATTTTCATGCTAATAACAATAATTCTCATTTTTCAATTATATCAAGTATTTGAAATCATTGATACTCTTTTTTTTTTTTTTTTTATACGCTCCCCCTAAATATTTCGGCAAAGGTGTATCAGTACTTAAAACTGTGCGTTTATAACTTTTTTAGTTTTTTTTTAAAGATTGATTTTTATATGTATTTTTATTAAAAAAGAGACTTCCAAAAACACTTGTAAATAAATGTTTTTAAATCAAAAAGATATAATACATTATACCTGATACATAATACAGGGTGTATCATATCAATACTTCGAAGCTTTTATATATATATATATATATATATGATACCTTGAGGCATGTTTATCATAAATTTTGTTTAATAAGACAAATATATTTTAATTTTTTCTGTAAATTCATCTTTTTTATATTATTACTTAATGTATGACAGAATCACATATTAAACTAGAAACGTAAACCAAGGAGTATTGGGAGAAATGTCAAGTTGTTGTTTTTTTATCAACTCCGGTTTAAAGAAACAGTCCAGTAACTAAGATAGATATGCACCACCAAATAACCATATACCCTACCTCCAAAAGAAAATTCCTTTTTGGTTTCATTCTTGTAGGGCCATTAGATCTGCATCTTGAAGTTGATTTATGTATAATAATGAATCAATCATCAAAAATCGTTTGTATTTAAATTTTGACCATTGGATGAGAGCGTTGTGTCACATTCAAATGTTTTAGGTAGCAATGCCAATACCAAACATAATACTGCTCAAAACACTTAATCCACATAATACTAATCAAATAAGTTTCATGTCAAAGGTTAAGGATAGTGGGACGAGGCGATTTCAGTAATGTAGCCCTATGAATCACCCATAAAAGAAAAAAAAGTGCACGCTATGTTCTGAATTTATTTCCATTTCTAGTATTTTTGTGTTTCATTGTATGTTCTAAGTAGACCTGTTTATGGGCCGGGTCAAGTTTGGGCTGATTGTTCTCTCTTTATAGACAGAAAATGAATAGACCTGAACTTGTGCCCGGCCCTATATAAAACCCAATGCCCAATCTGGAAAGATATTTTATATTTATTATTTATATATTACATATTATATAATATATATAATTTTTCGCTAGTAATATTATTATTACATAATATCATATAATATATATTATATTTTTTATTATTTATATACTATTATCAAGTCATTCTCGGGTTCGGGACAGGCTTATTTTGGAAAGTCCGAACCTGACTCAAGAAATAATCAAACCCAATGTTTAGAGCCTGAGCCCACTGGCGTAAAAGTTTGTCCACCTGGCTAGGCCAACCCGTCAGGCTTCTTAGTAATTGTAAGGAGGTTGTAATTTCGGATGAGATAGCAAAACACTTTAATGTGTAATGTCCAGCTCGTCCTTGATGATTACTACACTTCATCAATTTGCCATATTGCCACCCTCAAGTAATCCATTCTTCATCTTAGTAAATATATAAAAGCGTCAACTTGTTCAACCACTAAAATATTTGATTCCATTGGCTTGCACATACATGTAATTGAATCCTATAACGTACCTATCCCCAACTTGAGATGCGGATTCGAGTCTTGCTAACGGTTTCCACCTATTTTGAAAGAGTGAGTTATGTGTTGCTGAAAAGATATAAAGAATAACGAGAACAAGAACAAGAAAGACAAAATGAATCAATGAAAACAATAATATAAGTTCTGATGCATAAAATTTTCTCTCTAAAGGGTGTCACAAATGTTGTTGCACATGGCAACTGGCAACTTCTCACCACTAGTAGAATGTTGGAAGCTTGGCAGCATTTGGTTTGAATTTATCATTATTATCATCATTCAAGCTTTGCCTCAACTACATGTGGTTGGTTATGATGTTGTCCAATTTGAGGTCACCGAACACATAGCAAATGTCCTACAAACTGGATGAGGCGAGGTGGAAGGACAAGGCTATGCATCGAGGCCTGCAAACAAATAAGAATCAAAGGCCCAAGGATGTGATCCCCAAGAAAGCACTCCGATGCTCAAGTCAATGAAAAGGGTAAAGAGGTTAGTTAGGCTGAGTTGCAGAGAGACGAGCTAGTCCGAGCCAAGAGCAAAGAGAATTTAAGGCTAGAGATTTGAAGATCCTTTACCATCAGGGATAGATGCCTTTAGATAGACAAGCATTTGTGTTGTAGTCAGACAAGCTCTTCACGAGGTTATCAGGATGAGGCTGCCCACCAAGGTTCTCAAGAGGCTCCACCCTCCTCGCAGGAGCGTTTATCTCTAGAAGCGGAGCCTATCCTTGTCCATGCGGGACTCCACTTCCCTACGAAGCGGAAGTGCTCTGGTTGAAGCTTGGGCAAATCGGATCAACAGACCACCGAGACGGTTCGGAAACATTTTACCATTGATCATATAACCCAACGATCGCATCATCTTGTCTTCCCGAGCTTACACGCATGCAAAGTGCAGCAACAAATCTAAGCCATTAATCAAATATGATCTCAGCCATTGATTGCCTCTATATAAGGAGAAGGGGATAAGCCATTTACTTTGCCACTTTGAGAGTGAGCAAGCTTGGGAGTTCAGCTAGTACTCGGTAGTGCTCAGTCTTGATCTGGTGCTTCAGGTGTTCTGCACCCTTCACTTTGGTAAGATGTCTTCTTCTTCTTCCCCTTCTTTTTCTTCTTGCTCTAGCAATTCTTTTAGTAGTGAGACCAAGTCAAGGCCTCAGCTAGAGGTTGTCATGCTTACAATCTCAAAGACTAACGCCAACATGCCTGAAGGAGTGGAAGGGACCGAGTCATGGAAGCCAAGGTCCCTCAAGGGACCGACGTGGAAGATATTGACGAGGCCGAAGTGGAGATTATGTCCAAGGAGTTAAGCGCTCCTCCAAGGTTCGGTGATTATTTCGCCAATGCCCCATGTAGCCTGACGCCCAGAGATATGGTTCAAATCAGGGAGGCGTATTGCATTCCCAAAGGGTACGAATTTAGGTGTCCTCATATAAGTGAGTGGTTGACCTTGGCTCGGCCTGGCGAGCTCTATGTATATGAGCATAGTCTAATAGCTAGGCTAGGTTTCCACTTGATCCGGGCATTGTGACCATGCTAAAGTGGCACCATGTCCGTCCTGTTCAGTTGATGTCGAACTCCTTTCAATACCTTATCAGATTCCTCTACTATTATACTACTCGGGACATACACATCACTCTGCCCACGTTCAAGTATTTTTTTCACCTGAATAGCACCAAAAGGGCTACTACTATTTCTCGGCTCGGCCAAACACCAAAGTGCTCGTTGGAGCCCCCTCCTCAGTCAAACACTAGAATGAGGGTTTCTTTTTTGTACGTCTTCAAGGAGGTTGGACATTTCCTACTGATCAGTCCCAAAGACTAAAGAGAAAGCCTCGACTGAGGTCGAGCTATCTAGGGAAGAGTGGGCGGCCATAAGGTAGATAGAAAGGGTGCACATCCAAGAGTACACCTCATCCACGATGTTGGTCAGAGTTGCCTAATGGAGCCCCCGACTGGTTTGTTCTAACTTAGTGTAAGTTCTTTCTTTCTTTTGGGCTTCAAGTGGTTGATGTTCTTTTTGCTCTTGCAAATATAGTCAATTAGTCATGGTCAATGCTGAAGAGGAGAGGGTGAGGCGTATGCAGGTCACGGCCTAGAGGAGAGCAGCGGCTCAGTCATCAGGTATGGGTTCACAACAATGGTGCTTTAGTGAGATCGACTCGAAGGAGGTGCCTCCTTAATGCTTATGTCTGCAATTGACTCCTCGGGGGAGTCTCGAAGGTCAAGCCTTGCTTACCAACGTAGAGAAAGAGGTTGGAATCTACCAACCGAACTGGAGTGTCTGTTTATGGGGTACTTTGGAGACAGAGGGCATGCCCGAGCAATTGGCATAAGGAATTCTGCTATCGGAGATCCAAAGGGAGGCTTGTGGCCACACAAGTGGCATCTTGTAGAGCTCAACCATTCGTGAGACAATGGCGGTACAACTTCCTTCCCATCCTTTCTCTTTCCCCCTTTTTTTTTTGCTAAACTCTTTACCACTGTGCAGGCTATTTGAAGGGTTGAGAGATCCATCCCATGGACGCCCAAAGATTGCGGAATAAGGGGAGATTTTAAAAAATTTTTCTCTCTCTTCAACTGGGAATCGCATTCCTAATTTCGAAAATCATATTTTCAAAGATCATTCTTGAACCATAAACTGAACCAGATCTGAACCAAAAGGAGTAGGAGAGGATTATACCTGATACGGAGAGGATTATACTTGATACGGAGGATTATACCAGATCTGAACCATAAGGAAC